GGGTGAATGTCTGTTAGTGTAAGCGCTTTGGGGTCCGGAGGGACTTGAAAAGCGCTCTATAAGTTCAGTACTATTTACCATTTACCATTTACCATCATGGTGCAGAATCTGTCTTTGTCACATCAGTCTATCATGTGGTATTTGTGTGTTACAGGAGTGTTGTTTAGCATCGAAGTAACATCCATGTTCTTTGCTGTGAGGAACTACTGGAGAGGTTTCCTTTCAGCTACCATCAGTGCCTTCTTCTACAGAATTCTGGCTGTTTGGAACAAAGATGAAGGTAACAGATGTGGTCACCAGTGACACCTTTGTACCTCTGCGTAAGGTAGTGACAGATATCATCATTATGACATCGCTTGTGTAAGCATGGCTACGATGTAACGGACCCACAATGCCATACTTGCAAAGCACCTACCACAGTGAACTTTGAGGAATACAGTAAAATGCCTTCTCCAAGTTCACATAACAACTCCAGACTGACAGCACAAACTCCCATGACCCGTTGAGGACCCTAGTGATGGGAAAGAGCTAGTCCAATGTTCCACGGTCAGACCAGAAACCACACTTATGGACACCCTTATGTTCAAACATGGTGTTTGTGATGGACAAACCATGAAACCATCACCAAAGAAGCCTACAGAATCAATCTTTTGGACAGAAATTTGAATTCCCTTTAAAACATTGTGAGGAAACACTTATGTGTAAGGTTTCTTAAAACTCTCATAATGAAAGTTATGAGGAAATTATTTATTAAGGGTTCTCTTATTTTAAATTAATATCTTGGCTGCGCAAAGTGAGTCACACACCAACTCACGAGTTCAAATTTGATCCATCAAACAAAAGTAATCGTTTAATGGAGTTTAAACGTAAATTCAACTTGGAAGACTGGTGACTTTACCTACTCCTGCAGACCTCCATCTCAAGCTCAGCTGTGTCCAATAATGGCAACTCAGCTTCGTCCAATCAGCTCCTGTCTGCCAGTAAATAAAAGCCAGCCACCTCGATCACAAAGTCTGCATGCCAGCCGACCGTTGGGTCGCTTCCCAAAACATTGCAGAGGCAGGCCAGCATCTGCTCATCTGTTCTGTTCGGCCTCCTGGTCCCTCTTCGCCTTTGTCCAAGGCTCTTGCCGGCTGCAGCCGCTTTGGCTGCTCCGGCTCCCCAAACCAGTGCTCCTCCGGCGGTTCCGCTACCTGCTTCGCTCCACCAGTCCAGCGTCGTCCTGCGCCTCTCCAACATGCCCGTCGCCATCACTTCAACGCTCCTCATCGATGCTCGTTTCATGCATGCACCAAATTGGCTATCCCAGCTCCGGCACGACCACTTCCTCTTTCACTCGGCTCCGTTACGCTCTACCTGCCTCACAGCTCCTCCCCTCAGCGTTAACTCCGGCAAAAGCCCGTCCAGGGCCGCACCTACTGTAAGACCAAGGCCGGATTAACCATATGGGCAATTGGGCAATTGCCCAGGGGCCCACGGTCTCTAAAGGGCCCTGGGCAGTGAAGGCACGGACATAACGGATGCGGGATATGCGTGAGACATGTCTCCCTGAGTCCCCGCACTTCCTGCATCTGTGCTCTATGTCCCCGCACTTTTCTCAGCCGTAACAGCTGTTTTATCCATTATTAACATATGGTAATGCGTTTTCCTGAGCCGTCTTTGAACGCACCATAAGCGTGCGCAAGGTACTACTGCAGATGACGGAGAGGAGACGTTCTTCTGACCACCTGCCGTCTGAGCAGAGCCTCGCGGTGTAAATAGCAACTAAAACTTCCCACAGTTTTTACCAAACAAACCACGTAAGT